AGGAGAAGGAACTGGGGCACTATCAAAGGCCAGGAAGATGGACTGTTATCGGAGGCTAGGAATGTGCAAGGTCGCACCACTGTGAGAACCACATTTGGCACCTGGAAAGAGGGGGGTGCGAAGAAGGGGTAAAAGTTAAGTGGAAAAAGCACGGGCTTTAGTTTTAGCAATGCTTTGCTTAGAGTTGTATGTACGTTCCAATAAATGAAATCTTTTTTGAACCTAACTTGGGTTGCACAAGATTTTTCTTCATTGGGATTTGAACATCGCAGATCTGACAGAAGCTTGCGCATGAAAACAGAAACTTTACACACAGCTTTCCTTCTTTGTAGCACTTCTTTTAATGATCCTATGACCATCCAAAAGCTGGCCTCCACATTTTGAACATCAGCCCCCCTTTGAGCCCTTATGCATTTAATGTAAACAAGCCAACATTTCTCCACTTACAAACGTTGAAAGATATTTTCCTGTTCTCTATGAAAGAGACAGGGGAAAAAATCCTCTTTGGCAGGAAATAAATAATTTATAGAGATTAGGGACAGGCATTCATATAAAGTAGATTCTAGCAATGAACCCTAAGATTGGAAATATAATTGGGAATTTACCATTACAGACAGCTGAGATGCAGCATTAGTTTCTATATTCACAACCACATATGCTGTTCCATCTGCTTGTGATACACTGCAGTCTTTTGGGGTGGTCACAGTGCAGACAGGAATATTAGGGGCTGGGGAACCACCTGGGTATTCCACAACAAGCTGGAAGAATAAAAGCAATCGTACCCATTAGGTATTTATTGCAAAGTTTCCCTGGACAGAAGTTTGAATGAATTCTAAATTCAAATCCAATGATACTCATGTACAGATGAATGAAAACTAACTTCCTCCCTCCCTCCCTTCCTTCTTTCTTTGGACTGAAGAAGGGACAATCAAGATTCAAATTTATAAGTCCTTCACTAAAAAAAAAAAAAAATAGAACCCTGAGATCCAGCAAATGGCACTGCTTCAAAAGATACATATTTGGGACCAAAGAATTCTAAAGCCAGGAATTTGTTTTAGGTACACTGAAGAAGCAGTTCATTGATCTTCATGTAAAAATCTGCTCCTGGTTATCTTAAGCTTTCTTCATTTCAGCTATGTAATTTAGGAGGGGCTTATTATTTTACTACTAATATTGTTATATAATTAGGAATAATAAATCTTTGATAATCTATTGCAAGTCACCTGGAGAACCAGTAATAGCTCCACATCTATTTTCTGTCCACCTCTAGATTAAAGGCTTACTTTTTGTATTAGAGAGGGGAGAAATGCACAACTGCTAACACCTCCTACTTTTGGAAACATGCTTCTGAATCAGTACTGCATGGAAACATAAGGTAGTTGATGGGCCTAACTAATTGACCATTGTTGGAAAACAGCATGCTGGAATAGCCTCAAAAGAAGTGGTCAGTGTTTTTTCTCTGTATTGCATGAATTCACTGGGCAAAACTGATGGGTGTCATTTGGAAGGTTGATCTCAAGACAAAAATCTCCAGGTTTAGTTTTAGTGGTGATCAGTTAGTGATCAATCTTGGGAACCATCTGCACCCAAGAAATCTAAACCCAATTTCTCTGTCCTGAAGAAATCATGCAATCTACCTAACCACTTATATTGCATATTTTTTCACAATTTCTTATTTCTCTTAATTCATCTTAATCTTCCTTATGTAATGGGGCATGGATACTGAAGCCCCTTTCACAACTACTAAATGTCTTATCTGGCCACTTCTCCAGTTTCCAAGGTTTTGGCAGGCATGGCTAATCTACTTCAAAGCATATCTCCACACTCTAAGAGAGAGAAATTTGCTTTGAAAAAAATCATAGCCAGGATCCTCCAGAAGCAGAATTTTTCAGCTGTTGTGTCACACCAATCTTTTTTGTATTGCTGTGGAAACACCATGTTCACACAGACTTGAACATAACCGAAGCAAGAAGCAATGTAATGTAAGACTGAACTGCAACAGTGATGAAAAACTCAGAGTTACTGTCCTGACTGAAGGATGGGGTTCCCAAAAGCCATCAGTTCTTTCTGACAGCCATCGCTACATATTTGCTCAGGGAGCTGGCTCATGAGATTTACTGAACTACTGTATATGATACCGAATGTTGTGATTCTTACTGCAAGGCTGAAAGGCATCCCTGGTTTGAAGTACTTGGAGGCTTTGGGGAAAAGAATTCTGTAGGGAGAGCGTACAAGGTAGATCCCAGATTTCTCTGCTTGCACCATGTCACTTCCTGTGAATGGAAAGAAGAGTCAGTGGATCTTAAAGACAAAGCACAATTTGATCCTGCCTTATTGTCTAAACATGATTGAGGAGAGCTCCTCAGCCTCTTATGCTTTTCCTCCCCACCCCTTGGGAAAGGGCATTTCTCCCTCCCTTTCATTTTCAGGACTAATCATGATTAGCATTACTGTACATGGAGGTTTTTTTTTATTGCCACTCATGCTTAGCCCATGACACAATTGCAAAGCTGACATGGTTGCAAACAATGGTAGTTAAGTACTAACTTTGGCTCGTAGAAACATCAATGCACACTTAAGGTTAGTTCAGAACTGAAAGACTTCTCAAAGAGACAAAAGGTAAGAAGAATGCAAGCCTGTGGGGCACTCTTATTTGCTGAGCCCCTTAATTAGCTGATTGGGATCACGGAATTGGATTCAAATTAAGCCTGCAATCCTACGCTTAGTTCCCTGAAATGAGCTATGTTAAAAGTAAAACTTAAAACTTCTTGCTCATTAGACTTCAAAAATACAAATCCTAGAATTCTTAATGATAGCCAGGATAAATGGGGAATCCAGGGAATTAAAGTCCATCCAGCTAAAAGGCACCCAGATTGGGAATAACTAAAAATAGGACAGGAGAGTTATGATTAACACTTTAATTAGTTCAGTGGATCAGTTATTTCAGTGGGATCCACTAGAATGCCAGCTTTTACACATTGTTCTGACACAAAGCCCTGGTTTGTTATTACTATGCATTGTTGAATAAATCAGATTGGCTACATTCAGACATTATTATACCTTGTAAAACACTGTTAACAAATCAAAAAAGATGGGTTTACACACTTGTAGCAAAATACAAAACATGGGTTGGGCCAGCTAATTTCCCTTCTTGGGCATACATGGTTACATCGAATACGAATACAAATACAAAATACTTTAATGACCAAGTATAAAATATATACAAGGAATTTGTCTTCG